ACAGGGTGACCCTGCGAAGCGAGCAGTGCTGGTGGTCCCTCCAGCCTGTCCCAGCACGCTGTAATTAAGGCAATTAGCATGATGAGTGGGTGCCAGGAGGTGTTCAGGATGAGCTACATGTTTGCAGTCCCCATCCTACTGCTGGGAACGTGCCACCACCTTACTGGGACCAGTTGGCTGAGGGCTGAGCCCAGTTTTTCAGGAGTGCTCCTGGGAGTTTTGTGGGAACAGCCCCATCATTCCCTCCTGGCATCTGGGAATGACCCAGGGGTTCAAAGTCAGATGGTCAAGGTGCCAATGTTCATTCCCAGCTCCTGGCACGCTGATCTCCAGGCAGCCATCCCATCTGTGCCTCAGTTTCCCCACTCCCTAGACAGGATATAGGTCCTGGGACAGCCTGGAAGGGGCATCTCGCAGTGCAGCAGCCCACGTCACGCCGAGGGAAGGTTCTCAGCCCAAACCACAAGTCAGCTCTGGCTGGGAAGTGGCTGAGATGTGCCTGGGTTGAGTCACGGGGAGCGTGGACCAGGCTGCCCGGGCACGTCCAGCCTGAGGCTGCAGCTCTTCCCCCTCTGCGCCGTACGGAGCCAAACCTGGCAGGGCAACCGCTGCCCCGGGAGCTGGGAACATCTCCTCAGAGCTCAGGCTGGGTTTTACTGCTTGAGAAGCTTCATTTTCCCCAGGGCAGGAGAGGAAGAGGAGGTGGAGAATGGGAAATTTGGGGTTTTTCTTCTCTACTTGGTGCTCTGCAGCTTGGGAGAGTCCTTGAGTGTCATCTCCTCCTGGTGCTTGGTGCTGGAATTCCTTGTTTCCCAAAGAGCTGGGATGAGCAACACTCGCTCCTGCCAGGGCTCTCAGGAGGACAGAGATGAGATTGAACCCAGATTGAACCCATCTAATCCACAAACACAGAGTTCTGAGAGAACTTGGGATCCACCCAACAACTCCAGCCCAGGAGACACAGCTGGTGTTTCCATCCCGGTGGGACCACCCTGTCCCACCACCCGCTCTGACACGGGGATGTCCGGGTGTTTCTGTTCCAGCTCAAAGCCCAGACACCGGGGAACGTGGAGGAGCTGAGGTGTCTGCAGGTTATCAACAGGCAGCAGGAGAGCTCCAACCTGGAGGAGCTGATCAGCAACCAGTCCTGCCTCAAGTTGGCCAACACCATCAAAGCCTACGTGGCCACGGTGAGCTCGGACCTGCCAATTTTGGGGACTGGGGGAGGATGGGACAGCTGATGGCAGAGCTGTCTGCCTCCCTGCCTCAGTTTCCCTCACCGGAGGGGTGGCAGAGAGCAATTGCAAGGCTGGTTGAAGAGGGGAACGTGTGGGGCTGCACCCCAGACCCTCTGTGGTGAGGAGCTGGTGGAACCCAGAGCTCTTCAAGACAAGGTCATGAAGGTTTGGAGTGGATGGGAGGAGCTGGGGCGCAGGGAACACCCGTGTCACCTTTAACCATGGGACTCTCTTCTCAACTCTCAGGTGACGGAGGACGTTATCCGCAGGAGCGCGGTGAAGGGTGAGTCTCTCCCGGCCCAGCACCCCGGTGGCTCCCGGGGCAAACTCCACCGGGCACGGGGGTGGGAGAGGAGAGAGCAAGGCCGGGCGAGCTGGGCGAGTGAGGGGTGTGTGTCCCCAGTCTGTCTGTCCGTCTGGAGTCCGGGGAGCCAGGGCCACAGAGGACAACACAGACACGTTGGATAATGATTGACCAGGCATCTCCATCCCCAAATAACCTCCCTCTTCACCAGGTCAGTGGGGCATTTCTCTGCCCCACTTGCTTTGTTGGCACAGGGCTGGGTGTCCCCACACTCTCTGTCCCCTACAGCCCCGTGTCCCTTCTCTCGCAGAGGCCCGGCGGAGCTACTTCAACACCTCGGAGGGGCAGGTGCCCTCCAAAACAGCCGGCAAACCCTCGGCACATCTCACCCTCCGCCCGCAGAGCCTGGCCCAGGATGGTGAGTCGGGGAGCCCCACTCGTTGCTGAGATGGGAACAGGGGATAGATGTCACCCAAAGGGCAGGGGACCAGGGTGGGAGTATGCTTTTGGTGGCAGATGGGGGAGGTGTTTCTCCTGTCCAGTCCAAGACCACCTTAGAATCATAGAATGCTCTGGGTTGGAATGGACCTTCAAGCTCATCCAGTCCCAACCCCCCTGCCAGCAGCAGGGACACCTTCCACTAGACCAGGTTGCTCAAAGCCTCATCCAACCTGGCCTTCAACACCTTCTCCACCCTTCCAAGCTGGATCACTGTGGGAGACAGTTAAAGCCACCACCTCCCTTTCTCCTGACCCCAAAGCATCTCACTCCCCTTGGTTGACCCTTCCTTCTCCCCAGGCAACTCCAAGCGCTTTGGGAACCTCTCCCAGTCCTGCCGCCACGCCATCGCCCGCTGGGAGGACAGCACCATCCACTCACACCTGCAGAACATCACCTACCGAGATGGTCGCCTGCGAGTCAACCAGGCGGGCAAGTACTATGTCTACTCCCAGATCTACTTCCGCTACCCCAGCGACGGGGCCAGCGCCCAAGTCTCCGTCCCCCAGCTCGTGCAGTGCATCAACTGGAAGACCTCCTACAGCCAACCCATCCTCCTGCTCAAAGGGGTGGGCACCAAGTGCTGGGCACCTGAGGCAGACTATGGCCTCCACGCTCTCTACCAGGGGGGACTCTTTGAGCTGAAGGCCGGTGACGAGCTCTTTGTCTCTGTCTCCTCCTTGGCCATCGACTACAACGATGCAGCTGCCAGTTACTTTGGGGCTTTCCGGCTCGACCTGTGACAGCCACCACCACCTCCCACCTTCCTGCTTGACTCTCCAGCAGCAGCTCCTCAAACTGGACAACAGCCCCATGGCCAGGGTGGGTTTGGTGCAGGGTCCTTCCCTGTGTGTGTTGTCCCTTGCAGCAAGAGCCAAACCAGAGGAGGACATGGAGGGTGGCTGGTTTCAAGGGACCCTGTGCTTGATGCTGCTTGATGTCCAACCAGGAGGAAGCCCATAAGCCAGGACAGGTCTCTGAGAGCCCATGGGAGATACATGAGAGGGGACATCCCACCCTTGGTGGCACATCACCTCCACGGCTCCCGCCTGAGTAAATGGAGCAGGTGGCACCAAATGGCTCCCTGCTGCAGGAGCAGCACTGGGGTCACATCTGCAACCGTAGGACAAAGTGTCCCCACAGCAGGGTGACCCTCTGCCAGTCTGAGCCCAGGGCCAGCCAGGCTGCGGGTGCTGGGGGACCCCGAGCTGGAGGTGCTGGGACAGAAGCTGGGGTTAGGTGCAGGGATTAGCACCCCTGGAGTCAACCAGGGGACAACCAACTCTGGGGACCAGCTGGGTCCAGTGTCAGCTTCTGGAAGTGAGTGGAGGAGTTCCAGTGTGAGCTGAGGAGAAACCTGGAGCGATTCCAGCAATGGGTTTCAAGGAGGTCAAAGAGCAGGACCACGAAGCTGCAGTAATCACCAGCCCAAGCGACCGCGCCCGGGCACGTGGGGCAGAGAGGTGCAGTTTGCCCCAGCCAAGCTGCACAGGACCATCCAGCCCAGGACCTTGTCATCACACCTCCTCTTTGCTTCTGACCAAGCATCTCTTTCTTCCCTTGGGCTTTGGGGTCCTCACAGCCCTCTTGGGCTAGCACAGCCACCCACTCACTCGCCTCTTTAGCCCCAGTGGGATTTCAGCCCCCGGGTGAGCCCCAGAACAGGACCCAGGAGGGATGAGACCAACCCCCCGGGGTTTAAAAGCCCCATCAGATGTACCAGGTGGGTTGGAGGAGGGCAGAGCATGGTCAGGTCCATGGACACCGGGCTGGACACAGCCCGTTTTGTAACTCCCTGTATATTCTCTGTATTCAGTGTTGGTGGGTACGGACAGGACGGCAGCACGGGTGGCCACGAAGGAGGTGAGCACCCAACGTGGCTGTGAGGGGGGGTTCCTAGTGCTGGTTTCAATAAAGCCTGTACCCCAGCACCACTCTGCCACCTCTTTGCATCAGGCACCACAGGCAACATGTCCTGAGCCTCTGAAGCCACCCCAGCGCTGTGCAGACCCAAGGCAGGGAGCTCTGGGCCAGTTCACAGCATCACAGCACTGGCCCAAACCCTTTGAGATCATGGAGTCCAACCATGAACCCAACACTGACCAGTCCCCTATGACTAACCCATGTCCCTCAGCACTGTGTCTACACGACTCTTCAATCCCTCCAGGGATGGGGACTCCACCACTGCCCTGGGCAACCCCTTCCAATGCCTGGGGTCCTGGGCAGCTGCCCCCTCTTTCCCAGCTCAGCCCAGCCCAGAGGAGCTCTGCAAGGGGCTGCTTCCCCCCCACCCCAGCTGCCTCCAGCCTCCCCCTGTGCTCCCACACCCGGTCCTGCCGTGCCA